ACTAACATTTTATTGAAATGTATAGAATGTACAACAAAAAATTTAAATTTAAAAATTTCTATAAATTAAATCAAAACGAGTCAAAATATTTTGAAAATGTTATCATGTATAAAAAATCATAAAATAAACATTTGATAAATATTGTACTTATGGTTAATAGATTTTAATTTTTTTTTTTTAATGCCCTGGGGTTTTGTTATTTAAACGACCTAAAAGTCTTTACATAATATATGTTTAACAATTATATATATCTTACATACTATAGATAAAAATTATATATACTCGTGTTTGAATAACGATAAAATAAGAAAATCGTTGTATGAGAATTTGTTAATTTACTGGTTAATATTCAATGTCTAACTTCAAACGCTCGTAAAAAATTAATTTGACTTTTTGGTGAACGTCTTTTTTTGTTAAATGTAGGAAAACTAAAGGGGAATCTTGTATGACAATTTAAAATCTTAGATATATAGAACATTTTTTATGAATTTCTAACTAGAAATAATTTGCAAACTATCGTGATTTTGATGAATTTTTACCAAAATTTTAACTTCAGACGCTCATAAAAAATTACTATGGATTTATGCTCAACTTTTTTTTTTAATTTTCTCCAGCAACAACTTATGTACCAACTAGATTCACTTTACTAACAGAAAAGATTCTGTGAAAGAAAATTGATGTATTTTTACTGTGATGACAGACACAAATAAAAAGAAACACACATCATTGTAAAATCAATACATTCATCGTTCCGCTCAGAATCTAAAACTCAAACATTGTACCTTATCCAGTGGCATACTTAGACCTGCATTTTTTTTGCGTTTGTGGGGGGGGGGGGTGGTAAAATATCTAAGTTTCCCATTATTAATGACCAAAAAATTCATCTCATAAGAAATCAATTCTTCCTAAAAAAAAATCTGTGGGGGGTATAATACCCCACCATTAGTACGGCACTGGTTGTGTATGTGTGTGTATAATATTATTTTATTGATTTTATTGGTGGGTAATTAATAATATATTAAGGTTTAATTTGCACTACTAGATAAATATTATATTATATCGAAAATTAAATTGTATACTCGTAATGTAATATTTATATTATACCCACCTTTTTCAAGTTTTTTCCTACCAACAAAAAATGTTATAGAAAATACATTTGAACATTTCAATCAAATGAAGTTAGATGACTTGTATGCATATAACCCAATTATTTTAACATACCTAAATATATGTTAAGCTCACATTTAAAATTAATGAATAGGTAGTAAATGTATTATTCTCTTAAGTTTAATTAAGTTTATAGATCTGTTGATATACCTACTCGGTTGTAGAATTTCGATTTAATATTTTAAAACTTTCTGTAGTGATAAATTTCAATAATTAAATGCATCATTTTGGTAGCCACGAGTAAGAAATATTTAGACTTAAAGAAATGTGTTATATCTAATATAATATATTCTTGAGTTATAAAATATTTCTTATCGATTATTTTATTCGAAGCAATTTAAATGTGTATTTGACCTTTTATTTTGACTTCATAATATTAGTATCACTAATATTTTTTCTGATAATTTATATCTATAGCATTAGGTTTATCTATAGGTAGTTTATAGGTAATGCAATTTCTGCGATTGCTCGGTTATCTAATGTACCGTACTTACCTTTATTTATAAAAATATTATATTGATTATTTAGTTATTTTATCTTTATGGATTTTACCTATATACGATATATTTTATTGTAGACTATTAGAATTTGTTTTAGATTAATAAGATTAATATAGGTATACACTTATGTGTAACCCAATGGCCAATATGACAAACAGAAAAATTAAAAATATGCTTGTAGATATAATTACAAAAAAGTAGGTATAAAACACTATCACAGAAAATAATAATATGCTGGTTATCTCTAGTAAACACATCTATACAAAAGACATTGTGGGGCCTGTTGTGGCTCGATGGTTGCCCTCAGTCACTAACGTGACCATACGTCCCGTTTAAAACGGGATTGTCCCGTTTTTTGAGCAGTAGATTTGTGTGTTTTACATATTTTTTTACATGTTTCGAGGGGTGGGGGAATTTTCCCGTTTTTTATTTTCAAAATATGGTCATCCTACACTAACGTATCTTGAGGTCAATCATCGACTGACGAGTTTACTTCCCGGATGGATGACCACCCGGATTTATAGTAACCCTCGCTCCACATACATGTGTTCTTCAACTAATCGTAACCCACTAGAAAATGGCAAATGCTAACGGCCATAGTTTCCGATGCTTAAAATCAATAAAATATTGCATTGTATGTATTAAAGGAAATATAAAGAGATAACTCTTTTAACTGTTTATTTTAGATTTTACGTGGTGTTAGAGTGTGAACTATAAACATATTATTATTTATAAGTTTTCACATTACCAGTACTTATAATTTTTTTTTCTTTGCAGATATGACTACTGATAAGAAGTATGATGGTATAAAAACTCAAAAGTTCTCTATGTCTAGTCCAAATAAAGAATAAAGATTTTATATATACCTATCGTATATTGAATTGTAGTAGGATCATTTTTCAAATTTTTGGTTGTAATTTAGTATTTAAGAAATACATTAAAAACAAATTATGTGTGAATCTTTGCAATCTTTGAATAAAATTAATAAAATTATAGTTTAATTCTATTGGATGGTACCTTATAGTAGATTTACATAATGAGATGAATAAATGTGTTGACTATTGAGATGTATTTTATATTCATTTAAATTACTAATACATAATGTATTATAATCAATATTAATTGGATATTTATTCAACTACGCAAAAGTATTATTTTTCGTGTGTTATGTAGTCATATTGGAGGCTAACACGAAAGAGAAAGTACATAATAGGTAGTAGTCACCTACCTACTATTTCCATACGCTACCTTTAGTATTGCCATCTGAATCGTATTAATTTAAAACCTTTATATTCATTAAAATTAAATAAATTAACTAGTACTTATAATTTTGTACATTTATTTAACTTTGTGGATACTTAAGTGAAATGTGGTTCTGACGTTCATTTATTAAAAATATAGTTTATTTATAGGATACATATGTAAATAATATTAGTCGTATTGACTTTTAATTAAAATTATCATACTTATACACAGCAAAATGTTCGTAATCTCGTACTTTCAGTTTATATCAGTAAAACAAAAAATTATTTTATTTTTATGTATTGATATTATTTCTTAATTTCTTACACAGGGGCCTACCTATTATTCATTTCTGAAGAAAGGGTCCTCACTCTTTAATTAAGTATTTAAACATTTAGTTTGTTCAAAAAATATATGACGTTAGTAATCAAGATAGGTTTATAATTGGTTGTTTGAGTAATTTTTTTAAATTTTTTACATATTTTATGTTATATTGGTATAATGACGATAGATAATATTCTATAATTACTAGGTAATAATGATAATTTTAATGATGGCAAAGAATGTGTTTAAGACACAAAAGATCATAATAGTAATAAAAATCATAATATGCATTTTATAAACTTTAAAAGTGTATAAAAATATATAAAACGCATGTTTAAAATTTAATTTTTAATGCAATTACTTTAATATGTAGATATTTTACTAACCTGTAGAATTTCAAATTTGTAACATTAGGTTAATATTATAGACTATAGTTGTAGTGTAAACACATTATTGTACAAGGTTACTGCAGAGGTATTATTTAATTTTACTGGATACTATTTTAGTGTTGGTTGCAAATTGATGGGCCCTTTCAAAAATCACTTGAAATACCTAATACCAAATACATTTGAAATACCGAAAATATTATTTATTATAAGAAATTAAGAAGTAAAATATGTAGCCGTATATTTACAAAAGGGTTTAACTCCCGATTTATGCTGTTAGAGTTGTTCATTGTCATATTTTTAAATGAATCGATTTAATTTAATATTTCAATAGTAATATCGTCTATTGTAGTATTGTCTGTTCGTTACATATTTTATGGAACATAGAACAATGCACAATATCTTGATCATAATATTGTATTGGTGTATATGTCTTAAAATTACAAGTAAATAAATTACATCATATTCATACAATCACCTATAATTCAAATAATTGAAGCTAACTTAAATGATTAATAATTATTTTTGAGGACCTAGCGTCCTAGCATAATTATGAATTTAAAAGTTTTTAACTAAATTAATTTAACAATATTTAATTTTTCCATATTTTACTATTTAATCTGTTATAGAATCATTTATAAATAAATATATATTATAAATATTGCATTTTTAAATCATCCTAATCTAATTTATTAAACGTACATTTTGGACATTACTAAACTATTTTGAACTTAATAGATTCATATTTTTACAAATAGGTAACATTGTGTTGCCACTAGAACCTGATGTTATTTCACAATATTCTCTGTAAACTTTCCTTATAAATTCTCCGGTGTCTGTATGCGAGTTGGAAGTATGGGACAACGCATACTGCGTATATAATATTACTGCTGCAGTTGTTGCGGGGATAAAATTCGTTCAATATAATATTATAAATGCCTGTATAATAATCATAATAATAATTTTCTCGATTTCCAACGACCACAATTTCACTCGTTTTCCCGGAAAATTAATTTCTCCAACGCATGCTCGTGTGTGAGTACACATGGTGTACCTGTATACATTATAAGTTATAAATATGTACAACAGGTAACAACAATAATAATAATAATATGTCTGATATATTTTATCATTGTGCCCATACAGTTTCACGTGTTAGTTCGCGATTTGACTGGCAGAGCGTATCGCCCGGGGGAACTACGCCTAGCCACGTTGTACAGTCCGCGTTGCATAGTCGTCACGTACATGGTGCGTATACCAACACAGGCCCTGGTCGTGGTAGGGGTGCTGACGCCGTCCCGCCAACATAGAGTTTAAATACATTCAGACCATCCCCGGTGCACTTCAATCCATATCAGTACGCTGGAACTACTCTCTCAATATGTGTGGTGAGTACTTATTTATATTATAGTTGTGCACTTGTGTGCTATATTATTTTGGATTTTGAAAATATTATATTGGAGTAATTTTTTTTATATATTTCTCTGTACCTACCAAAATAAAACCATTTTTTATTCACTTTAATAATCGTTAAATAAAAATATCTGCCAATGGTTTTATTTTGGTAGGTACAGAGAAATATATAAAAAAAATTACTCCAATATAATATTTTCAAAATCCAAAATAATATAGCACATAATTTACGTTTTTGATTGGGTACCTATAGGTACCTTTTTTCTTCATTTTTAACATACCATTGGAAGTGGAACTAAACGTTAAGTGGTCTTATATATTTAAATGGTCTATAAATGATTCTTAAATGTATCATTAATTCATATTTTCAAACAAAAATTTCCAAATTTACTCTGATGATAATTTAAAAACTGAAAAAAGTATTTTAATAATCTTGTGGCCTGTAGACATGTAATTTAGAATAAACTATTAAGCATTATATTTATTTTATTGTTTCTTAATAGATTTTGATAACCAAAAGTTATATTTCTAAACAAATATTTCATATTTTTAATATTACATTAAAACCGTTTTAATGAATTAAATTATTTCATTTTTTTTTATAAATGTCTGAGATAAACAAATGAGTGTTAATTATCCTACATGTAGTCTATAGTACATAAATATTCAACTAATTATAAAGAAATGTTTTGATTAAGGAATAATTTTAATTTTCGAAGTATCTAGTTACCTAATTATTAATAAGGGTTAATGTAATGATTTGTTCTTAAATGAATGGCGTCTCCAATATATTATGCAATTGTATTAGGTATGTAAGTTACGTGCCTTTCTCTGTTAAACTAAAAATAAATTGTTCCCCGGGTGCAATGTGGTGCATTTACCGTAGGAGATATTATATTCGTCAAATAAAAAAAAGATTAAGATTAATGCTAGGTAGATGGTTCATGTAGAAGTTGTGTATGAACCGGTTGTTTTACCATTCACTTTCATTGGTTGTACAACATACGATGTTATAATATACTTATACTAAATACTTGGATCATATCCAAAATGGTAATTAGTTTATGGACAACTTTTTGCTTATAATCGTAATCAATAAATACATTTTAAAATTAATTTCACTGGAAATTTCGTTTTAATGTTCGAGTATTGTATATTTAATTTACACATTTTAATATAATAACATTACCATTTATCATTTTTTTTTAACAAAATGTCAATAAATAGAAACAAGTACCTAACAATGTAAAAATATTTTTCATAGTTTTATGATTTAACGACTTCTATTATTATTATTCAAACATTTTAGATTAATCCGTACCTATAAACCTACTAAACTATTACTTTATAACTACAATTCATACAGCTTAAAAAATATTATTAATAATGGTTTTTTGTAAAATACACTATACAGTTAATTCAAAATATTATCATGTAAATATTGTAAATATTATAACATAATAGTGAAAAACGTATAAAATGTAAATAGAATATTTAAAACGAATGCGCTGCTAAATTAATTAATTTTTCTGATTTGCAATTTAAAATTAATATTTTATTAGTTAAATTAAATTTTGAATATTAAATGAATTTTATAATTATACAAAATAATAATACTGCAAGTCACGGATCTAGGTAAAAAAAAAATAATATTTTTACTTATTTGATAATATTATAGTAATATAATCATGAACTAATTTTTATATAGTATTTATAGATAAATATGATTATAAATTTATAACAGACTAATCTACTATAGTTATTAATTTAAATAAAATTTTAAACACGCTGGAATTAGATTCGGAGAAGGCTCTAAATTGATATATATATATTTTTAGATTTAATCCATTTGAAAGTTGTTTATAATAAACAGGAATATTAATATTAATATATGCATTATGCATAATAAACCAACGTATGAAAGACGTACCAGAAACGCCCTTTTAATTTTCCATACAGGAATTCAAGTTAAACAATATCCGTAATTATGTTAACACTTTTATATTTTATAGTATTTAGTGTATTAACATTCAGGGGCGTTTCGCCTAGGTTAGATATTATAATAGCAGCAATTATAGGTATATATGCATTTGATATGTTACAACTTACAACTTACTGCACTCTATAAAGTGTAGTAATATTTTATATTTCTATGCATAAGATACTGTGGCGTGGTGAACGAAGTGCAAGGTTTACCTAATGCAATTGCTTAACCCTAGAAATTAATTTTTTTTTTAATTGCAATTTTCCTGCACGATTGTATAGTCAATTGTTATAGTATTTTGTTTATGCTAAATTATTGATGACGTTCTATAACAAACATTCTTAATTAGCATACAGCTTTAAATTATATATTATGTAGTAGGGGGTAGTGGGTGTGTTATTTTTCATATACATTGGTTAAGGTTTGATATATTCTCGCTACGACACTGATAAGATATAGGCAATAGTCAATAGATTTTATCGTTGATGTCACTATTACTTGTTAAGCTGGGTCCATACAATGATAGTAGAACGTGATATTCTACTACTATGAGAAGCAATAGACACGTTGGATTAAAGTAAAACAATTGATTGTTTTAAAATAATTATTTTGGTATACAATTTTTAAATCAAATTGAATTAAATATGTTTATTATATTGTATACGTTTTATTACAATCCATAGGTGATTTATTTAACTACTAATATATCCTCCCTCACAAAAGTTTTTTTACTCCATAGATTATATGTATTGTTAAAATATAATTATATGTAGCGCAGTGGATACCTATAGCCTATAGGTATTTATTTGTATTTATATTACATAATTAATTCTCACTGTTATACTATTTGTTTTTAATATATTATTTAATATTTTGAATGTTGGAATTAATGATGCATTGAATAGCTATTATTATTAAAGTTATCATTTTTTAACAATTATATTTCATGGATACATGGTACAATAGTATTAATTTTATATTGTTGTTATAATTAAGCATTGATAAGCATGTATTCTGTTTTATTTTAGGAATTTTCGCTTATCTCAATCACTTAACACCGAAATCCAGGGAAGAGATTATAACCCTTCTAGTAAATGGTCTAAAGCGATTAGAATATAGAGGTTATGATTCAGCTGGTAAGTAAAAATGTTTTCATAAAATCTATTTATAACATTGTTTTACAGAGATATAATTATTACTAAATTTATTCTGTATAGTTGTTTTAATATTTTTAATGTTATGAGTTATACCTAAATAATAAATTATATACAAATATAGTCATAGTTGCCATTTAATGCGATTTATACTACATTTTTTTTTTAACATAATGAGTATTAAGTCATAACAACCGTAATAATTAAATTCTGAAAAAGAACAAACCTATAAAAAATGTCATTTAGTTTTAACGAATTTAAATATGTAATATGCCAATATGGTTAGATGCATATGCATATGACGGCGAAAGTCGATGCATAACCATTGAAATAATAATAAAAAAAGGTGGGCAAGTGGGTGTCGCTCTGCTGTACAGTAGGTTACAAGTGGGTCACTGTATAATGGATGGTATTAAATTTTAATTCAATGATATAATATCATTGTATAAGAAAAACGATTCTGAGCGGTGACGGTATGTCAGTCTATGTATAAGACATATTATATACATATCTATGGTATTAAACAAAAAATTGACCTATAATAGGTACCTATAATAAATTCCAAATTAATCATATCACAATATCCATTAGATACTTATAACGCGTTATACATCAACAAAAACCGTAAAACTATCATAGATATATAATAGTACACTTTAGAAGTTTCAAGTACCCACGAATAATATTATTCAATCACAACAAAATAACTAAAATAGTTATTCTAGGTTTTTTAATATGTAATTTCGTCCAAATTTGAATTTAAAATGTCTGTAAAAAATAAGTGTGTTCATATATTTTTAGATTTTTTGGTTATAGTATGAACTATTTATGAGAACCTTTGTGTTGAATTTGTAATCCTTAGCTATAAAAACTGAACATTTTATAATTTATTAATTACAATGATTGATAATTTTCGAGATTTTGATAAATTTTGTCAAAATTTGATCTTTAAATGCTTATAAAAAAAAACTGTGCCTATGTATTTTTAATATTTTTCAACTGCTATTGTAACAATATATCAGGAGCCTTGTATTAAATTTTTACACTTTTTGGCCCAACAGATAAAACTTTATTGATAATTGTAGAAAAAAAAACTAAAAAAAATTGAAAGCTGTAAATGTCCATAAACAGCTCAAAAAGAGTCAACATATTTTCAAAATTGTATGGTGTATAGAAAATGCTAATTTAAACATTCAGTGAAATTTTCATGTATCTACAGTTGTTCGTTTTTGAATTGCAACAAAATAAGGAAATCGCTACATGAGTAATCGAGTGAAAATCCAATGTTGTAAAAATTTGAATTTCAAACGCTCATAAAAATTTAATTTGACTGTCCGGTAGAGATTTTTTTATTGATAAAGGTAGATAATCTTATAAGGAATCTTGTGTTTCATTTTCAAATCTTAGATTTAAAAAGAAAAATTTTTACGAATTCTTAACTCAAAATAATTTGCTATTTTTCGTGATTTTTCCATATTTTGTCAATTTTTGAACTTTAAATGCTTATAAAAAAAAATTGTGACTAAGGATTTTTAACATTTTTCATCTGCCTTTGAAACAACATATTAGGAGCCTTCTATTAAATTTTCAAGCTTTCGCAACCAACAAATAAAATTTTATTGATATTTTTAGAAAAAAAACTAAAAAAAAATGGAAAATGAAAATATCCCTAAACAGTTCAAAATAAATCAAAATATTTTGAAAATTTTATCGTGTATAGAAAATGCAAATATAAACAACCAGTGAAAATTTCATGTATCTACGGTCATTTGTTTTAAAGTTACACCAAAAACCAAATTCGATTTTGTCAAAAACTGATTTTGCGTAAAAATTCCCGTTTTTTCCTTAATTTTTATGTTGTTTTTCCCGGCGCTTGTGATAACTATTGGGAATTTTAAATTTTGACCTCCCCAATGCACCAACGATATTCACTTTCCAATCGAACAAGATACTGAAGTCGAAAATCGAAGCATTATTTCGACTACTTATCGTGTACACAGACACAAAAAAAAAAAAATAAAAAAAAAAAGGTGGGTAAGTGGATGTCGCTCTGCTGTACAGTAGGTTACAAGTGGGTCACTGTATAATTGATGCTATTAAATTTGAATTCAATGATACAATATCATTGTATAAGAAAAACGATTCTGAGCGAAGACGGTATGTCAGTCTAGGTTAAGACAAATTATATACATATCTATGGTATTAAAAAAAAATTGACCTATAATAAATTCCAAATTAATCATATCACATTATCACAATATCCATTAGGTACTAATAACACGTTATACACCAACAACAAACCCTGATACTATCATATATATATAATAGTACACTTTAGAAGTTTCAAGTAGGTACCAACGAATAATATTATATAATCACAACAAAATAACTAGGTTTTTTAATATGTAATTTCGTCAAAATTTGAACATAAAATGACTATAAAAATAAACTGTGATTGTATATTTTTTAGATTTTTCGGTAAGAGAATTAACTACTTACGTGGAATCTTGTTTTAAATTTTCAATCCTTAGCTATAAAAACTGAACATTTTATAATTTATTAATTACGATGATTAATAATTTTCGAGATTTTGAAAAATTCTGTCAAAATTCGATGTTAAAATGCTTATAAAAAAAAATTGTGCCTATGTATTTTTAATATTTTTCAACTGATATTGTAACAATATATCAGGAGCCTTGTATTAAATTTTTACACTTTTTGGCCCAACAGATAAAACTTAATTAATATTTATAGAAAAAAAAACTAAAAAAATTGAAAACTGAAAATGTCCGTAAACGGCTCAAAAAGAGTCAAAATATTTTCAAAATTGTATGGTGTATAGGAAATGCTAATATAAACATTCAGTGAAATTTTCATGTATCTACAGTAATTCATTTTTTAATTACAACAAAAAAAGGAAATTGCCACATGAGAAATCGAGTGAATATCCAATGTTGTAAAAATTTGAATTTCAAACGCTCATAAAAATTTAATTTGACTTTCCGGTAGAGATTTTTTTATTGATAAAGGTAGACAATCTTATGAGTAATCTTGTATTAGATTTTCAAATCTTAGATTTAAAAAGAAAAATTTTTACGAATTCTTAACTCAAAATAATTTGCTAATTTTCGTGATTTTTCCATATTTTGTCAATTTTTGAACTTTAAATGCTTATAAAAAAAAATTGTGACTAAGGATTTTTAATATTTTTCATCTGCCCTTGAAACAATATATTAGGAGCCTTCTATTAAATTTTCAAGCTTTCGCAACCAACAAATAAAATTTTATTGATATTTCTAGAAAAAAAACTAAAAAAAAACTAAAAATGAAAATGTCCCTAAACTGTTCAAAATAAATCAAAATATTTTGAAAATGTTATCGTGTATAGAAGATGCAAATATAAACAACCAGTGAAAATTGCATGTACCTACGGTCATTTGTTTTAAAGTTACACCAAAAACCAAATTCAATTTTCTGAAAAATCGATTTTGCGTAAAAATTCCCGTTTTTCCTTAATTTTTCTTTTGTTTTTCCCGGCGCTCTTGAAAACTACTGGGAAATTTAAATTTTGACCTCCCCAATGCACCAACGATATTCACTTTCCAATCGAACAAGATACTGAAGTCGAAAATCGAAGCATTATTTCGACTACTTATCGTGTACACAGACACAAAAAAAATAAATATAAAAATAAAAAATAAAATAAAAAAATAAAAAAAAAAACACACATCATTGTAAAATCAATACATTCATCGTTTCACTCAGAATCTAAAAAAAAAAAAAAAACACACATCATTGTAAAATCAATACATTCATCGTTTCACTCAGAATCTAAAAATGAATAGTACCTACTACCTAACCAATAATCTAAGACATGACTATCAGACTACGTATAATATTGTATGGACTTTTTTTAAATGATAGGTATATCGTTATGCTTATGATTAAAGACGTAATGAACAGCTAATTCTGGATACCTATAATATATAATAGGTATAATGTATATATTAAGTAAACCGTATGGAATTGGGATTTTGAAGGTGATAACTATTGTTTGATCATATAATATCATACAATATAATATATTGTGTATATTGGGTACCTGGTTTTAAGCGTCATAATTATTGTCATATTGAATATATTATGTATACATTGTAAATTTTTCAGAAATTGCATCAAAGTTAGCCTAACCTAATACTACGGTCGGATTTTCATTTTACTTTAAATTATGATAGAAAAATACGTTTGAAAATGAACAAATGTTGTGCATTATTCAAATGCATATTAATAGCTTCTATAAATTATAAATTTGAAAATTGAGCTTTGATCCTATCTGAAAAATGTTCTCTTCTTTTAAATAAAAAATTAATAAAATCTGACTATTCTACAGGACGTGATAGATTTTCTGTAAAACGTCATATTATACTGAAAAACGAATTGTTACCGACGCCCTTAAGGAATAAAAACAAAAATAATATAACATAACGTAAATACAATATAAAATTTATACAATTTTTTTTATTTAATAATGGTTATAATATGTAAATAAATAAAATAATCACTTTACACATTTACCTATATTAGAAGTGGGTATCTACAATGTTTAAAATATAAAATATAATATCTTTAGTTCGTCCGCTTAAATAATACAGAAACATATTATTATCTGATTATGTGGACATGTGGTAGCCGCCAGGTTTGATTAATATATAGGTTATTCACCAGTTATGTGATCAGTAGTTTTTGTATTATATATGCAATAATATAGTTTTTAAAACTGCAAAAATAGTAAAGAAATAATTAAAAGTTTATGATTGTAATTTTATTATATTCCTAAAATATCCTCTATTGGTTATTCATTTTTCTTCTGTAATCTTCTTATATGTTGCCTATATAACTTTTTTAAGTGTGAAGTTAATATAAATATTAGGTTAACATAATATTGTTTTTCTGTATTTCTTTATGTGCATTATTACTAAAATAAAACAATATTTTGAAAGTTGTATTGTTTTGAATACTTATTTATACTTTTTATAAGTATTTATTGTTGTGTTCTTATTAGACATACCTATATAAGTACTAATAATACCCTAGTACCCTATACCTACGTCCTACATACTTCTCCAACTCGATTGTTTAAAAGATAAGTTTATTTACGCTTTTATCTTATTAATTTATATGATCTTAATATCTCAAATTACAACAGAAGAAGCAGATAATAAAAAAATATTTTTAATATTTACATTCACTGCTTATAAAACTAATTACTAAAGTATGGCCTTTTCTTTACTTAGGAAAAATTATAATGTGTAGGTAGCTCTATAATTATAATGTTTAGTGTTATGGTCGCCATTATTTATAATCACGAATAAACATTATGTGGATATGTAGCGTATTATCTTCGGAATTTAAAATTAATGAAAATTCTTGCTATAGCATTAAGGGTTTCAGACGATAATTATAGATAGGTACATATACATATTGTCCTTAAAGAAAAGAATACCCACTTACATAATTTTATTGTATATAAAATAAAATTAATAAATGATAAACTTCTTTGTAATATGTATATATATATATATATATATATATATGTATATATCACATATTGTAAATCTATATGTATGTTTTAAAAAGGTATTGCGTTCGATGGTCCTGACGGTAAAGATATAACTATTGTGAAGAAAGAGGGGAAAGTAGTTGCTCTTGAAGATGAATTACTTTCTTGTAAGTCAATTTACTTGTTAGTTGCATTGGATTACCAATTTTGTTAAATTAATAATGTTTTTAGTAAAAGATCAGCTTGATTTTGAAGAAATTCAAAATAGTCACGTTGGTATAGCACATACACGTTGGGCTACCCATGGTGTTCCCAGTTGTGTAAATTCACATCCGCAACGTTCAGATAAAGATCAAATATTTTGTGTTGTGCATAATGGTATAGTTACAAACTATAAAGAAGTTAAAGCATTTTTGGAACGCAAGGGATATTTGTTTGAATCTGAGACCGATACTGAAGCAATTGTGAAGCTAGTGCATCATATTTACACACAACATCCAAATTTATTATTCAGAGAACTTGTTGAACAAGCTGTACAACAATTAGTATGTGTTGATAATATACCAATTATTGAATGTCATATTAATAGTATTGATTGATTTCTGCAGGAAGGCGCCTTTGCTTTGTGTTTCAAAAGCAAATTGTTTCCCGATGAATGCGTATCAACTCGAAGGGGAAGTCCACTTCTTGTCGGGATTAAGTCGGACACAAGGCTAGCCACCGATCACATTCCAATTCTTTACAGCAAAGGTATTAACAAACGTTCCAATATTTTTTATTTAATCGATTAGGATAAGTTTTTTTAGTCATATTGGCACATTGGTTGTATTTTTGTTTTTGTTCCGTTTGTGTGACCCGTGAAGATTCGATGATAGACGGAGAGTCTCTTTCATTAACAGGTATAAACCATTAAACAAATCCGTATATCTATAATGACCGGAAGTTAATTAATGGGCTTTAGCGTTCAAAACAACCTAGACATTACTGGCGTTGGCTTATTTGGTGGTGGTACTAATCATGATATATAATCTCTAAGTGTAATGCATCACTCCTGGAAATATTTTTTGCAGCAAGTAAAATATCCACCTTAGAAATAAGTATGGACGAGTTCTTAACATTTATGTTTGTTTTAAATAAATATAATTTATCAAGTATCATTATACTTCCAAAGTAAAACCTTAATAATAGTTTAATACATAATGTATATTATTATGGTGGTATTTATTGATTTTAAATAAATTTATTATATAGGCAACTATTTCCTACGCTACACATTTACGCGGGTGTTACAATCGAGTCATATATTATAACTGCAGCAATAGGCTGACAATACATTATAGGTACTTACATTTTATTAACTCTTCTTAAATAATTTGTATTATCAGTTTAATACAAATAAAATAAAACACTGGTTTTGACAGTTGTTGGCCAATAATTATATTTTTCATTTTCATTGTTACCGTCAACACGGGATTGCAGTTATATATAGCTGGTGACGCAAAGTAGTATAATAAATTATAATAGACACCTTTGAAATTGATGTTACTGTATTGCCAGAAAGCATACTATTATAGGTTAATTATAAAGAAAACTAGTCAATCATTGAGATCTACAAATATTATATCTTGCATACAATATTTTATATAATATATATCATACATATTAATATATTATGCATTATAATAAATAATAATATGTTATACCTAATATTATATAGAACCATAGAGGCACTGGACAATACAATTCAGTAGTAGTTTTATTTAGTTTGAAGTTTGGACTGAATTTCAACTGATTAAAATTAGAGTAAACATAAGTTAAAATGACTAAATACTTTAGTAGTACGTTTGTAATTTTTATTTCATTTTTAATGATTGATTTATCGCAGTGTATATTTTATCGTAAAAACTGGATACCAAAAAATATTGGTTAATGTGCATAGATGACGTAATGTCTAATTGGCTATGATAAATTACTGAAAATGACACTCTGTCATACTAATGTCAAGTATTATGAAGTTTTGATAAGATGTACAAATTTATCTAGTCACATAATTCATTGAAAATATCATGATTAATAGTTATAGGCTTGTTTGTAAAGAAGAAACTATGCATAATAAAAATTAATAAAGGAATGTATGTTGTATTATCATTTAAATAAATGAGTGTTGCTCTTATCGTTTATTCAGTAAATAGCTAACGAATTTCTTACTTAATTTCTCGCAATGCAATAAAATATTGGTTTATGGGACTTTTTACATCACAGAGACAGGAATTAATTTTAATTTGTCTCGTTGAAAAATAATTTAGATATTATTTTTTATTATATTTTAATATGTAAATACTATACATAGTAGACTATGAACGGCTTTAATGTCTTTCTTGTCGACCTAATATGCTGTGAGGAATAGGGTGCATGTAGTCTACGTTTGTTTCGAAAATGTATTAATTTAACATACGAATTTGTGAAATAATTTAGAGCACCGTTATATTCGTGGTGACAAAATGACCATTCCCATACCATTGCCTCGCCAAGAAAGTACGTCCGAATTCCATGCATTAGGTGAGAAAGAAGAAGTCGAGTACTTTTTTGCATCGGATGCTAGTGCTATAATTGAGCATACAAATCAAGTTATATATTTGGAGGTTTGTGTTTAATTTCTATAACCGTTTATGATAGTGGTGGTTGGCGGGTTATTAATTTTTCTCATTGTATTAGGACGATGACGTTGCTGCAGTAAGAGAGGGACGGTTGACCATTCACAGGATGCGCATGTCTACGGCTGATCCGCACGCTAGAGAAATCACTACACTCAAGATGGAAATCCAGCAGATAATGAAGGGAAATTTTAGTTCGTTCATGCAGAAAGAAATATTTGAACAGCCGGAATCCGTGGTAACAACGATGAGAGGCAGAGTAAATTTTGAAAATCAGACAGTCATTCTCGGTGGCATTAAAGTAATTGGACTTATCATTGTATACACTTTAATAATATTATAACACCATTATAGACCAGTGGTGGTCACCAATCTTTTTTTTTTCCAAGGGCCAAGAATTTAAAATTTTTCTTTTAAGAATTAAATAGAACTAAATTGACATCGATGATAGATAATATTGACTTAGTATTCGTGAAAAATTATAAATATAATAATGTTATTTAAAAAATTAATAAATTACGATAACGCTGATATGTATGATTTACAACGAATGTAATTGACCAAGAAAATAGGAAAAGAAGAAATATTAATTCATATCATATTTTACATAAATAAATTTTTTTTTAATTTAAAAAAAACTGTTTTTAATACTTTCACTTTCTGTTTGATACATAAGTACTAAATTATCGTGGACTGTCCATGATATAGAATATAGTACAGGTGTAGGCAATTAATTTTATTTAGTCATGATAGTTTATCATCAATCACACAGTTTTGATTGCGATACTTAATAAACTACAATATTTAAAGACTGATTTTTATTAATCGTGATGTTCTATTTTTAGGATTACATTCCAGAAATAAAACGATGCCGTAGATTAATGATGATAGGCTGTGGTACAAGTTTTCACAGTGCTTTGGCGACACGTCAGCTCATGGAAGAGCTCACCGAATTACCAGTTATGGTCGAATTAGCTTCAGACTTTTTGGACCGAAATACTCCAGTGTTTAGAGATGACGTCTGTTTTTTTTTGTCACAATCTGGTACGTTTTTAAAATGTTTTTGTTTTATAGACTTTTGCGTGTTCAATATTTAGTAAGTACCATATACTAGTGTTTAATGTCTGTATTTATTTCAGGGGAGACTGCCGACTCTCTTTTGGCTTTGAGATATTGTAAACAGCGAGGAGCTTTAATTGTCGGTGTCACAAACACTGTGGGTAGTTCCATCAGTCGTGAATCGCATTGCGGTATCCACATCAATGCAGGACCGGAAATCGGTGTTGCTTCCACTAAAGCTTACACATCGCAATTTATTTCACTCGTGATGTTTGGATTGATTATGTCCGAAGACAGAATATCGATGCAACCCAGAAGAGCTGAGGTAAAGTTAAGAAACCTTGGGACACGAATATTAATTTTGCTTAGCAATTTGGGACACACTATACTTTACCGTTTAGTAATTTGTAGAGAAATAAACTACCTATCATTATAATCACGTCTAGTTCAGAGTGGTGTAAGAACACTACTTATTTCAACGGAAGAAATTGGCTGACCACCCATGTGTATTTTGAAGCCAATAGAATGTAGGAATCGTCTTTGGGCTTTTTCGATTTTATCGACTAAGCCTACTTTTTTGGGGTTCCATATTACTGAACCAACTGTATATCTTGAATACAATTTGTACCTCGCTTAATTAGAATTTAAAATTAAATTCATCAATACTCAATAAATATCCAATATTATTAATTTCACAGCCCTGCTGATTATATTTGTGTCTTAATGACTAAACCTTTATATTTTTCTTTTATAACAGATCATCAGGGGATTGGAGAATATAACAGAACAAATTCGCGAAGTATTGGCCGCCGACAGTAAAGTAATGAAGTTGGCTGAAACCTTATATCAAAAGAAATCGTTGTTAGTAATGGGAAGAGGTTACAACTATGCAACATGTTTGGAAGGAGCGTTGGTTGGTTTTCAAGTATATCATTGTGTAACGTTTAAATAATATTTATAATATTTTTTTTTCTTCAGAAAATTAAAGAGCTTACATACCTTCACAGTGAAGGTATTTTAGCCGGTGAATTAAAACATGGACCATTAGCTTTAATCGACAAACAGATGCCAATAATCATGATACTGACTAGAGATCCAGTTTATAAAGTATGATTTTATATACTTATATAAGTATTGATTGTTTAATTTTTCTTGATATATTTTAATTTTAGAAATGTATCAATGCTTTGCAACAAGTCACTGCTCGCGAAGGCCGTCCGATCGTTATATGTGAAAAAGACGACGTGGAAACTAAAAGCTTGGCTTGGCAAACTATTGACGTACCGCACACTGTTGATTGTTTACAGGTATTAGTTGAATTTTAAAACTTTTTAACTTAAACAATTGTATTATTTGTGTACATTTTTGTCAACAAGTGTTACTTTCATTGTGTATACTGGGTGTACATCAATGTGTAATAATTCTAACTTTTAAATTTTTTTTAAATTAATTATTTATAATACTGCAAGTTGTTAATTTAATTTTAAGTAGCTGGCTATCATATTATATTCTCATTGTATTATTATAATGTATATTTTATAATAATATATTGTATGATAAACTTTCGATCATGAGAGATCCATTTTGATCAACCAACTAATTTTTAACTTGTAGATATTTAAACATAAATAAATTATGGAAGTATCAAGTGTTAATATCTCCATATTACATCCGTTTATATGCTATATTTATAGCTTATATTATAATAGATTACACTGGTAGGTATAATTAAAATGTATAATATAGTACAATCTCTATAATCCACATGAAAAAATAGACAAGTATTATCACAGTTGTAATAGGATTTTCAGTATGTGCATATTCTTCACGTTCGGCCCATTTCGCAGTTCTCCACTTTTGATTGGTTTATTTTTTTTCTATGTTATATAATATAGGTGAAGTAAATAGTTATTTATTCATTTAATATAATATATTTTACAATTTTAAAAAATAATCTAACACTAGTATGTCTAATACAATAATAACTCAATAATGCTATGATATTAGTTCATAGTTGTTCCTAGCTTCAAATAAGTTAAATATGTTTTATGAGAATTCAAAGATGTAAACATGATTTTAGGGATTGCTGACTGTAATACCGATGCAACTGCTGTCTTATCATATTGCGGTTATGCGTGGCTGCAATGTTGATTGTCCAAGAAATTTGGCCAAATCCGTGACCGTCGAGTAAAACAACCCATCTATTCCAATATTTGTATTTAACCTGTTAATAAATATATAATTCACACCAACATCAACAAATCCTACTTTCAATTTTAATTTGTAGGCATAAAAAATGTATTAAAAGCAGTAATAAATTCCTTACAACTACGATGATAGTATAGTGTCATACACAAAATAGAATGTATAAATAATATTTTTAGTGCTGAAAATGCTATAATATTAATGGCATCTCAAGAAATAAATATTTTATTATTTTCTATCAGTATTTTTTTTATTGATTTTTTTATGTACGTATTACGCTTTGTTATGTAATGAATTTTGTTTGAATTTAAATTTCTCATTTTCAATTCATTATTGTTTGTTATACATTCCTTTTAATGTATACATTTTTATATTAAGGCACCTATATAAATGTATTATATAATATTTTTTTTTATTGATTTAAAATAAATTTTTAATATTTTTAATAATGATTATTTGTATTAATTATTTTATTATGGAGGTATAAAAAATAAAAATAAAATACATTTTTGTATATTTTATTATATTTTAATTTTATTTTACCCGTCTTTTTAATATTGTAAAAGAAACAATGAATGCATGGATATTGGATAGTAATTTATTTGAAATTACTGTTTGGTTTCAAACTTTATGCACGGGTGTCAATTTTTAAATGTATGGCAAGTGGTGGTTCACTTTTACCATTAAGATAAAAGTAATAAATTAAAACTATACATTTTATATTATTTATGTCTAAAAATAAATTTCATCCGAAAACTTCAATTTTTGAGTAATGATTGGGGTAATGTTTTATAGAAAAATTGTTTAAGTCTCAGTACAAAAGTATAAAATAATATAACCTGATCGCCCAGGTACTTCATATTTTTCATTTGGTTTCTCGATATGATTTAAAACTGTTCGAATTGACGAACCTCCCCTGGTTATTTGCTAAATGTTCATCGATCTGGCAACAAAATCGATTGAAATCTGTTTAGAAAACCAAATAAATTGGCGCTGGCAGTTTAAGGAACAAAACAAATAAATTATATAGGTATATCACTCAATCATATTCAAAAACGATTCTGGAAAAGAGAATCGTTTAAAACCTGTACATTTCTTGAAGACTTGTGTTTAACTGTTTAAGTATAATTGTTGATAATTAGTAAATTATTATTTTATATTACAATAAATAATAATAGGTATAGTTGCATATCCGTGGTGACTATTATAACTTAAATTATTATTTATTACCCGTTTAAATTATATTCTTCCCATAGTTCGCTTATTATAGGTACCTATATATTATGACTTATTAATTGGGAATTTATTGTGGAACCGTCGAAACTACCTGCTTTGGAAAATGTTTTATATTCCGGTGGATACTGTTCTTATTGATTCCTATGAGTCTTAATTTTTTTTAAATAAAAACCCTGCCACAAATACTAAATATTAATATTGGACAAAGGTACAGGTGATAAACCACTCATTATTTCCAAAACTTCATGTTTTTGAAAATATTTTTGGCTATCTTATCGTATGCGCTCTACCGTATAGATCACGGTCTACCTGCAATTACGGCACGCTTATCGTATGCACTCTACTACCCAATTTATCTTTACTATCTTGACTTAAGAGGACGTCTCACCCGCATGTGTTGTCTCCGTCTTACACACGTACGACATAGACAAAACGCGTTTAGGCAGTCTGAGTATAACTCTCTCAATTTTGGTTCTAGAGTAAAAATGCCTATTATGAAATTGAATTGTGATAATATTTCTAAGGGCAAGACGCTGCGGTTTTTCCATTATACCCAATATAACGTTCATTATATCGTTTAGAAATAGAAAAAATTTCACCATTTTTAAAATACCTTTGACTTTTAAAAAATTAAATTTTTTAAAAAAACCGCAGCGTCTTGCCCTTAGAAATATTATCACAATTCAATTTAATAATAGGTATTTTTACTCTAGAACCAAAATTGAGCGAGTTATACTCAGACTGCCTAACATTTACATATTTACATAATTGTAAGTAATAAAGAATAAAAAAATGTTAAATATTTTACTATTTTATAAAATCAATTTATATTTTATCTAATCAATAGATACCTAAAATATGAATGGTATGCGGTGGAATCAATATAGCCGGTGTAATCGACCTGTAGATAATAGTTATTATGATCAATCGGAATGAATATTAAATAGGCGGAATCGATATACCCGATTAAGTCTATAATTTAGCCCATATTATAAAATATAATAGGTACTGTTTGTAATTTTAAAAAAGGTGGGTAAGTGGATGTCGCTCTGCTGTACAGTAGGTTTCAAGTGGGTCACTGTATAATGGTTGGTATTAAATTTGAATTCAATGATATAATATCATTGTATAAGAAAAACGATTCTGGTCAGTCAGCCTAGAATATTACAAAATATATTTGATGATATTATTGTGAATAAAGTAATTTATATATATAACCTATTTACGTGGGACCTTGTTTTAAATTGTTAATCCTTATAATAGATATAAAAGTTGAACCTTTTATACATTTTTAACTATAAATAATTATTAAATTTGAAATTTGAACTTTAAATGCTTATAAAAAAAAATTGTGCATATGTATTTTCAATGTTTTTCAACTGCTATCATAACAATATATTATCAGGAGCCTTGCATTACATTTTCACGCTTTTTTACCCAACAAATACATTTTATTGATACTTATAGAAAAAAAACTAAAAAATATTGAAAACTCACAATGTCCGTAAACAGCTCAAAAAGAGTCAAAATATTTTCAAAATTCTATGGTGTATAGAAAATGAAAATATAAACATTTGGTATAATTTTCATGTATTTACAGTTTTTGAATAACAACGAAATAACAAAATCGCTTTATGAGATATATCCAATATCGTAAAAATACGAAATTCAAACGCTCATAAAATTTTAATTTGATTTGCTTGACGACATTTTTTTTTTGGTGAAGATAGACAAACTTATGAATAATCTTGTATTACAATTTCAAATCTTAGATATAAAAAGAAATTTTTTTATGAATTTCTAACTCAAAATAATTTTCTTCAATTTTACGTATCTTGTCAATACTTGAACTTTGAATTTTTATAAAAAAAATTGTGACTGGATTTTTAATTTTTTCATCTACCTTTGAACTAAATACTAGGAGCCTTCTATTAAATTTTCAAGCTTTTTTAAACAATAAATAAAATTGTATTGATATTTATAGAAAAAAAAACTAAAAAAAAAATGGAAACTGAAAATTTGCGTAAAGAGCTCAAAATAATTAAATGTTATGGTGTGTAGATGCGTGTGTATAAATGCCTATATAAACATTCAGTCAAAAGAGTTGCACCAAAAACCAAAATCATAATTTTCTCGAAAACAGATTTTGCATAAAAACTTCCGTTTTTCCTTAATTTTTCTTTTGTTTTTCACTGCGCTTTTGAAAACTACTAGGATAAACCATAAAGTGATTTTTTTTTTATTTTAATCTCTGGACTGCTAACTATGAAAATATTCTTAAATAAATTCTACTTCTCAAAAGGTAGGTACTATCACCTATCGGCTGTCAGTCATTAGTAGTAATGTAGTATATAGTGTATAGGTTACTATTGTATGAGAGGATTAAGTGACAAAACATATGAAAAAAATTGGAGTTTGAAGGTATCTATTAATAATAGGTACCTAAAAAAAAACCTATAAAATATGAAAAAATAATTTTAGGTTTGAGCCTAGACTCCCCTCACAAAGTCAATGACCCAAATTACATATATTGGTTGTCATGATTGAAACTTTCTTGTTCTATTATCATTGTGTGGATTAATATAGGTAAGATGAGATCGGTGATTTTCTATATCTTGCAGTGATGGGCAGATCTAATGGGGAAGTGGTACGGTGCTATAGCAACCCCTTGGCCTGTGTTGACCTTTATTTTTTCGGTAAAAAATTAGATTATTTATTATCATTTCTGTGTCTGATAAATGTGTAAGATAACAATAATCGTAGTATCCTCTATAAAATAATCATCTGCTTCCAGAGTATAATATACCATATTTTATAGAGTACCTGAAGTTGAAATTATTTACTTAAGGCGCCCGATGCCGATGCCATTTTGTCCTCAAAAATATACTCTACGGGGATAACGATACCGCCTTGTAGAATCAACCAAATTTCATATATTTTTTTTTTATTCCTAGAGGGAAATATTCTACAGCCCGCATCGATCTTTGTTTTATTTATATTTTATTCCCAAACTTTTCAATATGTCTAAAAAAAATACAAGATTAAAAGCATTTTTTACAAATTGTTTAATATAATTATTTGAAATAAAATACAAAATTTGAGATCGATGCGGGCCGTAGGAAGTCTTCTTTTTTCAGATCAAAAAAATAGTCATCAAAATCCGAAAATTCTACAAAGCCTGAGAGTTATTCTCTGAAGTAATTTTTGTTGATATAATTCACCCTATCAACCCCCCCCCCCATCCATATAGGTATCGGGTAGTAGATTAGTGGAAAAGTATTATATGATAATATTATTTATTATAATGATATGGTTTGCCACATTTTTTATGAATACAAAAAACAAGAATTAATTAAGAAACATAATTAGAAACTTTTACTTAAAAGCATTATACCTACATTAAATTTTTTTTAAGAAAAAGCAGTTCATGGGAGCAACGGTCCACATCATCCATTCGACCCTTGTATATACACCATACTCACAGTGAAATACCGGTTACATTAGCCACATTGTTAATATATGTTATCATTTAGTTTCTTTATCTGTAGGAACACCGCCCCTTGCATTAAAATATTAATTTTTTATATGTTTTTTTGTGAACTCAAACTGCCATTGAACACGTATAGTTGAGGTATTATCCTCACACGATTTTTTTTGGGGTAGACCTGTGAAATATTAAACTAATTGTAAACGAAAAATGATAATAACACTTATTTAGTCAGTTATACTTAAAATAATTCATTGCCAAAT